TTCTGTTAGAGATAGCACTTAGCTCAGCTTTCTTTTCTGGTGCTGTAAAGCAGGGCCCTTTCAGAATGCTGGTGTAAATGCCTCCTCTTTCACAATTTTGGCTTTTAGAGGAACCAGCAGTTAGGAAAGAGCTGAGGCTCATTCTATGTTCTGCTCTTACCAACTCCATCTCCAAAAGGGAAGGTTCTCTTCCTCCTCCCTCTCCTCCTCCCTCTCCTTTTCTTCCTCCTCCCTTTCCTTCTCCTCTTCCTCCCCTTCTTTCACCCCTCTCCACACATCTTCACAACTTTGTGTCCTCTCTAAGAAAGAAAATAACCCACTGAGTCCACTTTGTTCCATCCGTATACTCATGGACGTGTGGCTGTCCACTGGAATATAGAGGCCTTAACCAGGGACCACTGGGGGAGAAGCCATCCACAGCCTTCCTCAGCTATGAACCCCGTGACTTACAGTAATGACCATCATGGGGAGATACATAGCAGCTCACGTGTTACGGGGATAACAAACTGCTTTCTGATTGGATTTGAGACCTACTCCCCTGGAGGAAATGCATGCCTGCTACTATTAATCTGGCCAAGGCAAATGATTGGTGAGCTCACAGGCTAAATGGACATAATGTCAAACCACCTTCTAAATTTATAGCCACAAACTAGTGCAGCTCCCAGACCGAATCAGAGAGGTCTTTTTGTGCCATGGATGACGACTAGTGCAGAAACTTGTAACTGGCTAAAGTGCAGAGAGTAGAGTATCAGTGGAGTGCTCAGCTACAAATGCGACATCTAACACCCGCACCAGGGCCTACGGACCGTTGCAGAAGGGGAAGTAGGAAGATGGTAGGAACAAGAGGTTGGGAGGACCAGACTGAAACAGTGTCTTCTGGATAGGACCCAGCCACAGCATTCATGAGCTCATAGCACCTGTGTTTGCTTACAGGAGACCCTCAGTGACAGCCACAAAGCATCACTGTGTAACCCACTCAATGAAAAGCAGGGTTTAATTAGAACTGGGAGAGTTAGGAAAGCAAAAAGTGAAAGGTTCTATTGTGATTGGATACGACACGAGCCATTTAAGCTGCAGTCCGGTAAGGAACCATTAAAAGGGTCCAAAAAGATGGGAATATGGGAGTGCCCTTTGGCCCTGAACTGAAGACCTAGTACCATGATGATCTAAAGGTTTGACTGTGGTGGATGGAGATTCTCAGTCCCAAGAAGGCTCAGCTCAGCCAGGAGGAAGGAGGCGGGAGGCAGGTGTGTTCATCAGCTAGATGAAGAGGGTGAGATGGAGCTCAGACAGGAGCCTGTTTGCTAAGCTTGTTAGGACAGTAGTGACAGGGAATTGGGGGTGTTATTTATTTATTCTCTGTTTTATCTTTTTATGTCTAAGAGCCACCATGAGAATTCTGCCTGGGAGGGAAAAGCAGCTTAAATGAAACTTCGGAATGTCTTGTGAGATGCTGGATTACAGAGTAAATATGTCTAATAAAATCCCCCTGCTGGCTCAGCTTTGAGGCTTTGCAAATAACTTCAGACTCTTTGGGGGGAAGGCATTGCTTTGCTGCAACTACTTAAATACCTGCTGGGGCGCCGTAGTCACACATGGGGCTCAGGGATAAAGATATCATCCGTTGCTAAGTTCCTGTAGCCAGGACCCCTGCCCATGGCCTGGGGATGCACAGGTGCCAACTCGGGTTCCTCTTCCCTTACTTCCTCTTATGTCTTCTCCTCTATTTAAGGAGAGTCCCTTCTGCCACCTGGGACAGTGACAGAGCCATGAGGAGTGGCACACACCTGTAATCTCGGCCCCAAGAGGCTGAGGTAGGAAGATTGTGATGTTGAACCTGCCTGGTTATATCAAGATCCTGCCTTGAAAACAAAACCAGGCAAGCAGGCACGGAATGGGAAGTGTCATGGGGGAGAGTCTGGACCGACTCACACTGTAAGCAGGTCTTTGGAGTTTCAAGGATCAGAGAACCCAACTTAGTCTGGCTTGAGCGAGATGAGAATCATGAGGTTTATGTAATAGAAAAATCGAGGCTGGATGGATCTACTGCAGGGTGTGGCTAGGTGGGGGAGCTGAAATTCTATGCAGAGGAATTTGTCACGTTCACCTTTGACTCGCTTTCCTGTGTTGGCCACACTCTCAGGGAACTCTCCCTCTGCAGCAGTCCCAGGATCTTAGAGGCCCCGTGCCTCTATGACATCCAGTTCATGGTGGTAGTCAAGAAGTTGCTCCTCTTCCCCGTGACTCTAGGCAGACACAGCAAAGGTAATTGTACATTCTCCTCCCAGTGTTGGTGGCTAGCAAGATGGTCTGTTTGGATTGACAGAGCACGATTGTGTGCTGATCCTTGATCTGCAGGTGAGATTAACCTCGACACAGAACACAGGACTATGAGCAGAGGAGAGGTGTCCTCTCATGGGAGGCCCAAGTGCTGAGACTAAAACGTGGTGCTTTTGGTGACAGCCGTGGTACCCCACTCTTGCTGCCTGATCATCATGGTCATGGTCAAAGGTTTATAAAGCCCTTTGCGTTCAGATGCACGGGCTTGTTGGTACTGATTCACCATGAAGGCTGTGGTCCATGGGTGGAACTATCCTGGACAGAGCCAGGTGACACACTTCCTGGCTCTTCTAGGATCATTCAGGTGCTAAGTTCTTGAGCCTTGTTGGGAACCTGAGTCATCTGGCTACATCGAGTATAGTCAGGAGCAGGCTTGAGTGCTGGTACTCAGCTTTCTTCTTTTGATTCAGTCCAGGCACCCAGCCCCTGGGACAAAGCCAGTTCCTTTAGAGTGTACCTTCTCATCTTACAAACATGTCCAGATGTTTGTCTCTTAGGCTACCTAAGCCCTGTCAAGTGACAAAGGTAACAGTTATAACCTCTATACCTTCACAAGAGCAAGGCGTAATGGAGGGAGGAGGGTGCCTTGCTTTAGAGTAGGGCTTTGGACTGTCTCTAGAATGAGCCAAGAAGTTTAGAGTTGAGGTTGAAGTTCTTTCAGTAGAATGACAGTGGGTTTTGCCTGGAGCATCTTTTCTCTCCCAAGCCTTAGTAACATCAGCAGCTGAGTGTAAAGTCAGAGCCCTGACATTGGTGGAGCTCCTCATGGACACCATATTTGGAGGTAATCCAACTCATTTTGTTCTGTTTTGTTTTTCATCAGCAAACGTATCATCATGGGACCTCTCACATGATTTGCTTGATAGCAAGGACAAACTGACTAAGCAATTGTATTCCTCACGGTCAGTGGATAGTTCAGAGTCATGACGGAAGCACCAGCTTCAGTTTCATGGGAGTCTGCCTCTAGAAAAGTGAGTCCTGTTTTAGGTAAGAGTGAGATCTCAGCCCGACCAATGGGGTGCTAGATTGAGGCCTTGGGGGTTCCCCACAGACATGCTAACCTATAAAGCACTTTTGAACTTGGGACAGCTGCCTTTCTTAAAAACTTCCCAACCTGTCATCAGGTGGAGCATGCGTATGTATGTGTGCATTCATGTGTGCACACGTCTATGTGGGGACATGTTCTTGCATGTGGGAATGAATGTAGAGGGCAGAGGCCGAGCTTGATATTTTGACACAGGGTCCCTCATTGTTTTGGTGCCCACCAAGTAACTATACCGGCTGGTCAGTGAGACCCAGCAGTCCTCCTGTCTCTGCCTCCACACCATGGGGATTATAAGTACACACCACTAGGCCTGTTTTTTTTAACCATTTTTTTTTGAGATAGGGTTTTTATGTGTAGCCCTAGCTATCCTGGAACTAGCTATGTAGACCAGACTGGCCTCGAACTCACAGAGATTTGCCTGCCTCTGCTTCCCAAGAGCTGGGATTAAAGGTGTGTGCCATTACCATCAGGTCAACCATGTTGTTTTTAAAATGTTCTATTTAGTTATCTTTTTAATTGGCCTATAGTGATTGTGCGTGCTTATTTTATAGTGCCATAGGATGTTTTTATACATTGTATAATCTTCAAATTAGACTAAGTCCATCTACTTAAATACTCATCATTTGGGTTAAGAACAAAGAATTTTCACCATTTTTGAAATACTACTTAGTATTGTGGAATATTACATTAACTAGGTAAAGATGTGTTACATTTGTTTAAGCTGCAATTGTTTAACTATATAAAGATGTGTTGTCTTGCCTGTCTAAGGCACCTGATTGGTCTAATAAAAAGCTGAGTGGCCACACATGAGCCAGGACCTCTGCAGGTCTGGGTGTGAGTCTGGGACCTCCGAGGAACTAGGCCTGATCCAGGAAGTCTGCTGGTCTGGGCATAAGTCTGGGATCTCCAAGGGAGTAGACCACAACCAGAGACCTTTGCAGGACCAACAACAAGCCAGGAACATCTGCAAGAGTGGATCCAGACCATGAACATTTACAGAGCAGACCTGAGACAGCAAACTTCACAGGAACAGAGCAAACCCTGGGAGTGCTGAGTGACCTCCAGAAACACGGAGTGACCAATGGGGTGACTGGAACTGTGGCTCTGACTGTCCCAGAAGGAGCAACCATCTGAGCCTTGGATCCACTGGCACCTGGAAGATTGGTCACCAGAGGCACAGACAGCCCCAACTACACCTACCAGAGGAAAAGATGGGTAGACAAGGTAAGATCACACACAACACCACAAAAAACAACATGACACCAGTAAAAACTAGTGACCCTACAACAGCAAGACTTGAACAGCCAAATATAGATGAAGCAGAAGAAAATGACCTAAAAAAAATAACTTTTGGAGAATGTTTGAGGCCCTTAAAGAGGAAATGAAAAATTCCCTCAAGGAAATGGAGGAAAAGACAAACAAAGATTGGAAGACACCAGCAAATCCCTTAAATAAAACCAAGAAAAAGCAATCAAACATATGAAAAAAACTATTCAAGACTTGAAAACTGAAATAGAGATAATAAAGAAAACAGAAGCTGAGGGAATTATAGAAACAAAAATCATGAGAAAATGATCAGGAACCACAAATGCAAGCACAAACAGCAGAATACAAGAGATGAAAGAATCTCAAGTGCTGAAGATACAATAGAGGAAATAGACTCATCATGGTGTAGGAGTTCCTTCTGTTTGTGTGTTGCTTTCATTGGATAATGAATATAGATACTGCCTTGGCCTAGGTGATAGGGCGGAACTTAGGTAGGCGGAGGAGACAGAACTGAATTCTGGGAGGAAGAAAGCAAGAGTCAGAGAACCATCATAGAACCGCCAGAATCAGACATGCTGAATTTTTCCTGGTAAGACACAACCTCGTGGTGATATACAGATTAATAGAAATGGGTTAAATCAAGATGTGAGAGTTAGCCAATAAGAGGCTAGAGATAATGGGCCAGGCAGTGATTTAATTAATACAATTTCTGTGTGGTTATTTTGGGTGTAAGCTAGCCGGGCACCCGGGATGAAAAGCAGGCCCTCTCTCCTTCAACATCATCATTCAAAGAAAACATTAAATATAATAAAAGTTTAGCACAAAATATCCAGGAAATATGGGACACTACGAAAAGACCAATCCTGAGAATAATAAATATAGAAGAAGGAGAAATTCAACTCAAAAGCACAGAAAATATATTTAACAAAAATCATAGAAGAAAATTTTCCTAACCTAAAGAAAGATATGCCTATGAAGATACAAGAAGCTTACAGAACACCAATTGACTGGATCAAACAAAAAATCCTCTCACCACATAATAATCAAAACACAAAGCATATAGAATAAAGAAAGAATATTAAGAGCTGCAAAGGAAAAAGGCCAAGTAACATATAAAGGCAGACCTATCAGAATTACACCTGACTTCTCAATGGAAACAATGAAAGCCAGAGGGTCCTGGTCAAGCTTTATGCAGACATTAAAAGAAACCACAGATGCCAGCCCAGTCTGCTATACCCAGCAAAACTTTCAATCACCATAGAAGGACAAATCAAGATATTCCATGACAAAACCAGATTTAATCAATACCTACCTAGCCACAAACCCAGCCCTACACAAAGTATTAAGAGGAAAACCCCAACCCAAGGAACGTGGCTATATCAACAAAAACACAGAAAATTGATGATCTTATAGTAGTAAATCCTAAAGAAAGGAAAAACATACAAAATAACATCACCAACAATGAAAACTAAATTAACAGGAGATAGTAATCACTGGTCATTAATATTCCTTAATATAAGTGGACTCAACTCATCTATAAAAAGACACAGACCAACAGATTGGATAAAAAAACAGAATCAATCCTTCTGCTGCATACAAGAAACATACCTCAACCTCAAAGACAGACATCACCTCAGAGTAAAGGGCTGAAAAAAAATTCCAATCAAATGGACCCAAGAAACAAGCCAGTGTAGCTATCCTAATATCTAACAAAATAGACTTCAAACTAAAATCAATCAAAAGAGACAAAGAAGGACATTTCATATTAATCACAGGAAAAATTCATCAAGAGGAAATCTCAATACTGAACATCTACACCCCGAATACAAGGGGACCCTCATGTATAAAAGATATACTTCTTAAATCATACATTAAACTCCACACACTAATAGTGAAAGACTTCAACATTCCACTCTCACCAAAGGACAAAAATTAACAAGGAAGAAATAAAGGGAAAAAATAAAGACTTCCTAAAATTCAATGAAAATGACCACACAACATACCCAAATTTATAGGACACAATGAAAGCAGTGTTAAGAGGAAAGTCCATAGCATCAAATGCCTACATAAAGAAGCTGAAAAAAATCCCACACTAGTGAATTAAAAAAACATTTGAAAACTTTAGAACAAAAAGAAACAAACCCACCCAAGAGAACCAGATGGCAGAAAATAATCAAACTGAGAGCTGAAATCAACAAAATAGAAACAAAGAATACAATACAAAGAACCAATGAAACAAAGAGCTGGTTCTTCGAGAAAATCAGCCAAATAGACAAACCTTTATCCAAACTAACCAAAAGACAGAGAGATTATTTAAATTAACAAAATCAGAAATGAAAAGGGGGACATAACAACAGACACGGAGGAAATCCAGAGAATCATCAGGCCATATTTTGAAAACCTGTACTCCACAAAATTGAAAAACTTAAAGGAAATGGACAACTTTCTGGATAAATATCACTTACCAAAATTAAATCAAGACCAGATAAGTAAATTAAATAGATCTATAACTGCTAAAGAAATAGAAATCGTCATCAAAAGTCTTCCAACCAGAAAAGCTCAGGACCAGAAGATTTCAGCTCAGAATCCAAAGAAGAACTAATACCAATACTCCTCAAATTGTTCCACACAATAGAACAATAAAACAGAAGGAACATTGCCAAATCCTTTTTATGAGGCTACAATTACTCTGATACCCAAACAACATAAAGACATTACTAAGAAAGAAAATTACAGACCAATCTCACTCATGAACATTGATGCAAAAATACTAAATAAAATACTGGCAAATCAAATCCAAGAACATATCAGAACTATCATCCACCATGATCAAGTTGGCTTCATCCAAGAGATGCAGGGATGGTTCAACATATAAAAATCTGTCAACATAATACACCATATAAACAAACTGAAAAAGAAAAACCACGTGATCATCTCATTAGATGCTGAAAAAGCTTTCAACAAAATACAACATCCCTTCATAATAAAGGTCTTGGAGAGAGCAGGGATACAAGGAACATACCTAAACATAATAAAGGTAATATACAGCAAGCCAACAGCCAACATCAAACTAAATGGAGAGAAACTCACAGTGATCCCACTGAAATCGGGAACAAGACAAGTTTGTCCACTCTCTTCATATCTATTCAATATTGTTCTTGAGGTCCTAACTAGAGCAATAAGACAGTAAAAGAAGATCAAGGGGATACAAATTGGAAAAGAAGAAGTCAAGCTATCACTATTTGCTAATGATATGATAGTTTACATAAGTGACCCCAAAAATTCCACCAAGGAACTTCTACAACTCATAAACACTTTCAGTAACATAGCAGGATACAAGATTAACTCAAAAAAATCAGTATCCCTCCTTTACACAGATGATAAATGGACTGAGAAAGAAATTAGAAAAATATCACCCTTCACAATAGCCACAAATGGCATATAATATCTTGGAGTAACTCTAACCAAACAAGTGAAAGACTTGTATGGCAAGAACTTTAAATCTTTGAAGAAAGAAATTGAAGAAGACACCAGAAAATGGAAAGATCTCCCATGGTCT